AGGTCACTTGGTTTGCTCAGCTTAGGGAAGGCTGAGGGGTGACCTCAAGGCAGCCTTCAACTTCCTCTGGGGGGAAAACAGAGGGGCTGGTGCTGATCCTCTCTCTGTGACTGCTGACAGGGCATGAGGAGATGGAATGAAACTGCATCAGGAGAAGTTCACAGTGGGCATTATGAAAAGGTTCTTCACTGAAACAGGCTCCCCAGGGAGTGTCACAGCTCCATGCCTGTTAGAGCTTGTGGACAACCATCTCAATCATATGGTTTAGTTTGGGGTATTCCTGTGAGGAACTGAGAGTTGAAGTCTGTGATACATGAGTCCTTTCCTACTTGAGATACACTGTGGTGCTATGATTCTCTACTTAATTTTTGTGGAAGTTTTGACCCTTTCAGTTCAGTGCATACAGGGATTAATATAATAGAAGTTGTATAAATCTACTTCAATATAGCACTTTTGTAAATATTTTATTTGCCATTCTTGAGCTGAAAATAATTTGGTAACACATCTTGTGTAGGACCACCCCAATAATCTGTCCTGTTCATTGTTCTGAGAGTAGCAGTTGTGTAGGACAGAGTACACGAGGGCAAGCACATAAATACACTTCTCTCTGTGGCCCCCACAGCCTGCTGCTAATTTTTAGGCCGTATTTTTGGATATAAGAATTCTTGAGTTATTTTTCTTCCACTATGTGTATCCTTTTATTACTCAATCTGCATAAACTTTTGGCACCCACAGCATTCCATGTAAAGGATTTCCACACTTGAGTTTGGTTTGTAATAAGGAAATATATAGTATCATTTATTTTCAATACATGACAATTTATTCAATGCCCTTATTGGGAAAGACTTGTTCTTTACTCAGTTTGCCATGGCCACACAACTTCCAAGACCTCCTTTCTCTCATCAGTTGTCCATTTTTGAGGATTAACAGCCCTATATTTACTTAGTCATTCTTCACACAGAAGTTGTTCCATAGCTTTTATCTTTCTTGTCTCAGGTCTTTGTATCTTGCATGGCTTTTCTGTGTTTGCTTTGTAACATGGGAACCAAAACTACACAGTACACCATGTAAGACACATGAAGGACCTCAGTGGTGGCATAATGTCCTGTTTGTTGCCAATTTTAGTATTGGATTTCTTCTGGACAGCCTCTGGACAATACTTGTTCATCAAAACTTTGTGAACACAAACACTTCCGTAAATAGCAGTGGCTAATTCAGAAGTAGCAGATACAACAGTGTATCTGAACTAGCAGTAGCTAGTTCGGATAAACTACTGTGTATGTGACATGTTGGCTTTCCCTGCCATGTTCATTACTTTCCCTTTTGTTGTTCTTAAATTTGTGCATTAGCAAGACTCAGCACGCTGAAAGATTGTTCACTTTTCCTAAGAAGTTGAGGACATTCTCTGGTCAACAGCCAGGATATTACTGATGTATGTATCCAGTCGTAAATTTTCCAGCATCCTGCCTGAAGGGTATGCTATGGAATATTCAAATTATCAAAATGACCATTATTTTTGCATATGTAGCCAATGTTTTGACTGATGCTTTCTGGGCATCTTGTGTGGATTTTTCAGAGTTAATGACATTGGCCTTTGGAAAAATCAGGTTTCTTGAAGGTGCAGATTAGCCATTGAAAATTATATAGGCTTTTTCATCCTAATCTGAAATATGTATGTGTATATATGATAACAGAAACTATATATGATAACAGAAGTAAAAGAACTAAGCTGAAGTTTCTGTAAGGGGCAAAGGGCCAGACTTCTTTACAACCCAAGAGAGTTGGTCATCTCAATTCCTTTAAAAATCTGATCCTGAAACCATTTTTAAGCTTGTCAGTACAAAGGATTTCTTGAACTATGCTATAGTTCCAAAATCACTTACCAAGGGTAAGTTCCAAAATCACTTATCAACATCTTCTGTGGGACCTAACTTTTACTATAGAGATATAAAAGCTATTTGAATACTAATTGGTAACCTATAACTCCAGCCAAAACTCTAAAATCTTTAGACAAATTCATTTTAGCATTAAATATTTGAAAATAAATATCTGAATGAAAGGTCACTACTTTCTTAACTAATACAAGTTTTATAATTTCCCAAGAGACTACTTAAAAAATAAACACAGCTACTGGTGAGGCTTCAAAGTTGAGCGTCAGGAAATAGTGGCTTCTTTTGACAATAATAAAATTCATGGGAAAGGCTGTGGGACTTTCTTTAAAGGTAAAAACAAAGCCTGATTTCATTAGCCACTGATACATTGATCCAGCAGCAAAAAAAGTAAAATGTTTAGGTTCTACACAAGCAAAAGCATCACTTTTATATATATGTAAGTTTGTAAGGAGAGTATGCAGACCAATGAAGGCTGGCTTGATTACTGAGCTTAATAAAAGTCATCTGTCCTTTGACTGCTGAATTGGTCCACAGGGCTGTTGTTACTGTCAACCATAATGGAAAGAAATAAATAAAAACTCCCCTACAATATAGAACAAATTCAGAAAAAAACTGCTTAGATACTATGGGAGACAACATTTGGTCTTGAAAAGGAAACAAAACAAATATGACATCTTCAGTCTGCAAAATCAGAAAAAGGATCCATGTAAAATTCATATGGCAAAGGAGAAGATTGCCCAGGTATTTTGCATTTCACCTGCACCAGCAAAAGCTGAAGGCAGAGGTAGAAACTTACCAGCTGGGCTGAAGAGAAGGAGGAAGATGGGTAAAGGCAGCAGGAGGAATATCTGAGTTTAAGATGCAAGATGGGAAGAAAAGCATTCACTTAAGGCAAAATTTTTATTTATAGTAGTTCTGTATCTGGTGCTTATGTAATGTAATAAAGTGACAGTCCTGTAAGTATCCTTGTAGAGAGCATTTGAAAAAGCATCAGCCTGTTTCCCATGACCAAAGTCCATGATGAAAGTTGACTTGTACTCTCTGGAAAGCAATGTTCTTCCCCTAGTAGTAGACAGTACATTTCTTTGGCACAAAGCAAATGCTTGCAATGGGTGAATTAACATGACTGACAGAGTTCTCTTTATAACAGCTCAACCTAAGGGAATTTACCCATTTCTCTTCAAGAAATTTTGCTGAAAGATAATATTTCACCAAATATCTTCAACTTCATGCTCTGGTAAAAGCATTTTTTTCATTTAAGAGTCTAGTCTTGTTACCTGGACTAAATCAGAGTATTTAAATCTATTTTATCTCCTTGAATCTTATTTTAAGTCTCATACATGGCATTCTAAGGATATTTTGCAAAGTATATATAAAAATACAATATTTCATACCATTTATTTGAAATATTTTATATAGTTTGTCTTGTGTAGTGTTATGGTACCACATACTGTGGGTAGATCAGCAAGCACAAACATATTCTTCATGCTAAACTTTAAAATCAGAAATGCAGGTTCATAATTTTATCTTTAGACCATGCCTTGAAATTGTAGTTTTGAGACATAAGGTTTAATAAGCATATCTCTTTTTTGACCTGCTGAATATCTTTCATTATGCTTAAGAAAGCAGATGGCAAACAGGAGTAGTCAAGGAGGAGTAGCAAAGCAAATGACAGAATAACACGTAACACAATGCTGCGGAAAAGTAAGTGGTATTAATCTTTAAACTATTTCCTATTTTCTATGGACATCACATGGCTGTGTGAGGATTTATCTTCCAGAAGAGATTCTGCTGGGGTTACTTATGAGGTTTTTCTTGTTTTCATGGGGGTTTATTTTCTTTTTTAGATCAGCTTCAGTGCTTCTTGATTTAAAATGAGCTGAGTCCTGTCCAGTCTGTGTATGCATATTCCAAACAAGTAGCCCTTTTATATCCTTATTAATCTGGGAACATTATACAAGTTTGATGTAAACAGGGAACTTGGGTAAGCACAATCTGTTTATTAAAGAAAATAAACTCAAAGTGTAAAGTCCAGTAAGAAAATAGAAACTTTGCAAGTCCTTCATAAAAAATAGAGAAATTGTTTCCTTGCAATTCTTGTCCCAGTTTTCTGTTCTCCTTTCCATTTGGTGTGTATTTACCTCACTTTGTTGTGCAGAGTTTACTCTTTTTACAAATACCTAGTTCTGCTTCTTATTGGCTATTACATGATCATTGTACATCTCATGGATTCTCATCCAAAAGACTGTCAGCTGAGTCCTTCAGATTCCCTAAACTGATTGAAAACCACCTCTTTTGGAAAGAAGATCTTTTGGAAAAATCAACATTGGTTTCTCTCCATCTTCTAATGTGTCTTCTAATTTGATTAAAGTTGCCTTCTGGTAGTCATTGGTAAACTGTTATCAGTTGATACAGTTAATATAAAACGTGTAGATTTTATGTCTTGAACTCCTGTTTTATTTATGAAAACGTATGGAAGTTGGTTTGGATGCTCCTGGGCTGTCCATCTGACTCTCTTCCTCCCTGTTGGTTTCAATATCAAAGTGGTCTCCTAATCATCCCTGGTCAATGCATTTTAATTCTTTTTCCTGAGCTCCCTCTTATAAGGAGCTTCAGGTTTCCTTTTGAGAGGGAATGTTTCAGTTTTCAATAGTATGTGAATATGGGGCCACATCATACACAGCTCCTCCAATGACAGTAGATGTGCCACAGAAGAAGCTTCCTGACCAGATGTGGATTTTTGTGAACACAGCCAGCTCAGCCCAGAGAGACAGCTCTCTGTTGTTGATACAGGTCAGAACCTGGGACTTGTTCCCTGTAGTGACCTAAGAAGATTGACTCAGGAGATCTTTCAGTCTTATATTCCTACCTAGTAAAAGATGCAGGCACTTGTATGACAAAATTTAGCTGTTCAAGTTCAGAGTTAAATACATCCATTTATTCATAGCACAGATCTTTGCACATATGTACAACAAAATGTTTATCCAGTAGGGAAAAATAAATGGCTGACAACAAACTGCTTTGTTTTCCAACAGAGTTCTAAAAATTACCTCATGAATACGCAATGTACCTAACTTTTACTGTTTTACTCTTTACTGTTCAAATAAGGTCTTGGCATTGACAAGAGAACATCTTTACCACAGAGCAATTCTCCTTGGGATGATACACTTTTCAATATATCCATACATGCAGCAATAAGACATGGAAAATGGAAGTTACTAACTGGATATCCAGGTAACAAAACCCTATCTCCCACCCACCACAAACACAATTTAATTTTGTTTCATGTATTTTAATTTCTTTGAGTAATTCTGCTGATTTCTTAGGTTTTTGACCACATGCAAAGATCTAGAATGAGCACTTCTAAAATCCAAACAATGTGGGTTTTTTTCATTTTCCAAATGTTTTGTCTTCGACTTATTTGAATAGTAGGGGAAAAACTGCCATAGAATATCTCAAATTGTAAGGGACCAATAAGGAGCACAGAATCCAAGAAGAAGGTCCATTAAATTATTTTATGTGAAATAAAGTTACATAGAATTTTGGATCTCAGTGGTGCCGTGGGTTTTTTGCATAAATGAGGCTCCTATTTAAGTAGCCCTGGACTAGAGAGAATTTGGTGCAGGGCTAGAGTTAAGGTGTGCAGCAACAGTCACAAGCAGGGGCTTGTCAAGAGACCTAGTAAATTCATCAATTATAGCAAAACTCTGTCTCTACATTGCTGCTCTGTATGTCAGAACTGACCCTTGGTCTGTTCCTGTTCCTGTAGGCTGCAGCCACTGGTTCCCTCCACCGTCTTTGTTCAATGAGTCACAGATTCAGTCGTCTGATCCATCAACAAAGAGACTTTGGCTGTTTGATATCGTTCATGATCCTGAAGAAAAAAATGATGTGTCTGAAAAATACCCTCATGTGGTGGAAAAACTACTCTCACGGCTTCAGCATTATCACAAACGTTCAGTACCTGTGTTCTACCCTGATGAGGATCCCAACTGTGATCCAGCAGTGACTGGGGCTTGGGGTCCTTGGGCATAATGCACACAGCTTTGCATTCTGCAAAAAACCCCTGCAGCAGAGTCTGGTTTACAGACTCAGAGTCCTAGTCACATATTTTGTACTTTCTCTAATGAGTTATTGCTAATTGTGATCTTATTCTTGGAATAATTCATTATTTCTTATTCTTGATATGTTGGGAATCTAATTTCAGTCTTTTCCCACTCTCATTCCCAACAATTATATGTGAAATGTTAGTAAAATTATATATATATTTTTAAATATTCTTTGTCTGGAATATACTTCTAGTGCAGAAGATAAACATTGCCTCCTTCCTTGAAAGAAACTAAAAGTAATTGAATTCCTTGTAAGGAAGGCAACAGGGACATCCAAAATTAATCAGTCTTGTGGAGTATACTGAACTTTGGTTTCATGTTTGTCCAGGAGACAAAATCTACTGAAAGCTGTTATATATCTGTATTGACATAAAATTTTTTGCCTTTAACATGTACTTCCATCCAGAAAAGGCAAGAGTAAAAAAGAAAACCTCACAAATACAACATAATCTCTATTTCTTGTTCACTCTTAATCTATCAAACTGGAGTAGAGCGTGATGATCAACTGGAGTGCAGGGCTGTCAGATAGAAGAATCTTGACAGCCTTAAAAAATGTGTGAATAAATATTTCATTAATTTCAACAATTGCAGAGTCTGCCACTTGGAGTGCAACAGCTACATTCAGGAGTGCATGCTGGGCCATGACCAGATGGAAAGCATTTTCATGGGGAAAAAATCTAAGCATCCTTCTGAACAGTAATTAGGACAAGAGTTCCCATTTTCTCTTTAGGTGAAGAAAACCAACCACATGTTGTTCCGCATAAGCCAGAATGTATCCAGCAGCTAGGGGAAGTCTTAATTCCCTTCTATCAGTGCTAGAGTATAGCATCACATTTTGAGCTTCCCTATAAAGGAAAAGTATTGACCAGTTTGAGTTAGTTCAGTGGAGAACTATGAGTGTGATCATGGGAAGGATAAAGAAATGGGTTAGTTTATGCTGGTGAGAAAAATGGAAGATGCTATCTTCAGCTACCAACTGTGAGAGCACAGAGAAGAGGAAGCCAGACACTTCTCAGAGATGCACAAAGATGAAAAGCACACAGGGAACATGTGGAGTTCCAATGCAATATAAGGAAAGGGGGAAAAAAAAATCACACCATGAGTTTAATTCAATATGGGAAATGTGAGACTATGGCAACCTTAATCCTGGGGTTGTCCGGTCTTTGGTTGGAGAAGATTCTGAACAATTCTATCCCTGAAGCTGGATCAAATTTGAAGTTGATGCAGTTTGTTAGAGTGGTGAGGAACAACCAGTGACCTCCAAAGGCCCCTTTCTGCAGAAATTACTCTACGATTCTGTGCTGAACAAAACCTTACTTTTATTACCTGCCTGGTAAGTACCCTGTCTTTATTACCATAGTGGAGTCTGTTTTCATCCTGAAGTGGGCTCTGAGCCATGAAGAAACCAAGCCAAGCAACATTTCTCAGTTACAATCAAATTGACTCAAGATAATGTGCCAGCTCTCTATTACCTGAGATAGGTCTTCAAACCCTGAGTTCTGGTACTGCTTCTCGGTGTCCTTGACTAAGTTCTCGGGATGCAGAGCTCAATCTGTCATCATCTCCAGAATCATAATTGCCCTTTTCCCAGCTGCAGGACCAACTCATATGAATTGCATTAAAATTTTGTACAACTTCCTAGTTTTCTCTTGGGAGACTTGTGCTAATCATTAGCAAACAGATTAATGAAAAGGAAGGCTTTACAAAACCCATACATTAAAAAAAAAAAAAAAAAAGCTGAAAAAGAGATGAAACAAGAAAACTGAAAATGCATGTACTTTTTAATACAGCTGATTCTCCACTGCGCTGTCTTAAATCTAATCTTAAATGCTTGTCTTTTCTACCTTTGATGTTTTTTCTGCGTAGAAGTGAGTCTAAAGCTCTCCAGAAGCCTGTTCAGCTTTTTATCTTTCTCCCAAAGAGCTTTATGTTTCTCTTGCTCCTTTGTCACTTCTGCTCCTTTATGTCAGTATTTTTTGCTGTTCTATTTTGTTCACCATCTTCAGCCTTGAAGACAAAAAGAAAAGAAAAGTAGTTTCAGAGAAAGTAATTCTTGTATAATGTATTTTCTCTGTGGTTTAATTGGATATATTCCTATGGAATCCTGTTTTAGACTGAGTCTCAATTTCCTTCTCCATTCATCCATCAGTGGCTGAAAGCAGATGGTTGCAGTAGGATATAACTGAGCAAGCTCTTCAGATTGTTCTTCACCTTCTAAACAATCACTCAGAGCCTCAAAGACTAGTTTCTCTTCCATCAGGTTGTACCAACCTTTCCTTTGGGGCCCTTGGGAATAATGCCCAGCCTTACAATACTTTCTAAGATACTGCTATTTACACAATCCTGCGTTTCCACAGCTTATCTAGACACTGGGAGAAACATCTGATTGTTACCTGCCTCCAGGTAATTTATATTTTCATTGGCAAAACATATCTGCTGTGACAGAAGCTTCTACTATAATACTGTTTGCAACTTTCGTATGAACTACTATATTTAAAATACTAAATTAAAAAGATTATATGTTCTGTAGAAGTAGTCTTCAAACTTGTACCTGGTTATATCTCCTTCAATTTAATGAAACACATTTAGGCTTTTCTTTCTGTCCTGTGACTTTTCATACCAGAACCTGAGCTCCTGCTCAGGTTTTACCTAGCACACAGCTCATATAAAGACCTGATGTTGTTTGGACTAGTGCTGTGAGATCCAAGTGAGAGCAACACGTAGGCAAACCACTGGAAGGGTTCAGGTCATTACAAAGCCATTACTTGTCTGCTGTAGACATAATCCCCCCTACTGATTGTCAGTTCCTTCAGAATCCACTAACTTATGGGAATCATGTAGACCAAACTTTAAAGCTGGAACTTATAAATATGGCATCTTGCCCAAAAACACCTCTGAAGCATATCCAGCATCAGCCAGTCTGCTGAGGTTTTCATGCTACCTAATGGGATACATGGGAGGCCTGCACTGTGACAGAGGAGAAAGGATGAGCACTCTCATCAGCAGCTCTAGAGTATTTTACTTATAACTTCAAGTTATAAGCTTATAATTATTAACTTACAGTTATGACATAGACAACTTGTGAGTTAAAAACCTTATGAATTAAGGAATGAATTAGTGAATTCCCATGTTAGTCTCATTTGTATTAAGTGAATTGAGCCTTTGATGTGTATGTTTGCTTCCTTTCCTAATGAGCTCATAAAATAATTTACAGACCATGTTGTCCTGTAAATTAGAGAGATCCAATTGGACCATGACAGTCTTTGCTTCAGAACACAACAGCATTTCACTCTTCAGCTTTTGAAGATTCTTTACAATAACTGAGGCTTAGGCTCAGTTATTTGCTGACCACATCAATGGAGGGAAAATGGAAGCAACAAAACCTTTTTATAAGGTATTGTATCACGTTGACAAACCTTGCATCTTCCTTCAGTAGCTTCAGAAAAACCTTTATTGCTGTTCCCTTTTCTAACTGTTGCAGTCAGTTTATTTTACAGTGATACAATGATTTATGTTAGTTTATAACTTACCTGTTTAGTGCAACTGTAAGTTCCATATGCTAATTGTAGCATACAGTTAGTAACATAGTTTCGAATGTGGGATTCTGAAAGAGAAGAGTGTTGAATTACCTTTTGTGACCTTTAGATTTACTATTTTTGTATGTGTCATAGTGATATGTTGTCCTTCAAATATCTTTTTGAGATAAATCATCCAAAGAACAGAAGTTCCATTAGTTCTTACTTATTCAGAATGTTTTGGTATAGTTTACTTGTGCAATCAAATGCAAATGGAGATGTTGACAGCCATTCCCCTTTATGTAAGGCAAGTAGATCCAAGGAATTTATGTTATCCCCACTCTTTTTTTGTAGTGCATATTTATTTAGTGCCCTGTATACACATGGAGACATGTAAGATTAGAAAGCTAACTGTTCTCAGTCAATATCACATGTAACATTTTGGTTTGTAGTAGGCGTTACAAGATGTGGTTTTCACAATAACAGGGGACTGGACTTGGGGGTGGGGAAATTTCTGCCCTACATTCCTGTGTGTCCTTCAGCATTCAGCACTCATATTACATGAGGAAAGATGTTGTCTTACCCACAGAAGTGGAAACTTCTCTTAATGGTATTTTTAACTGGATTTTTTATGCTGATACCTAGTTTAATGGAAAAGAAAAAAAAAATCACCTAAATTGTAAAAGCTCAAGTAATTAATGGCATTGACTCCCATCAATTTCAGCTTCTTGGCTAAAGAAAAGATTAAAAAAATTCTAATTTTAATTTCAGAGGTAGGCAGAACTTTTATGTGTTCTCTTTTTTCTTTGTCCTACAATCCACATTTTAATGTCTTGCTGATATTCTAATTTATATATTTAATTTACTAGGAAGTGACTGTGACATATCATTGTCTCACAGAGGTATTACATTCTGTTTTCTCTCGTTATATATTAAAATCCAAAGATTATTTTCTCAGCTACAGTAGAAATTTTTTTTCCTAATTATTTTCCATGGGTGGTCTTCATAAAACATTTTAATTGGACTGTGTTAGGGAAAAAAAACATCTGGCTGACACGTTTAGGTTGGCATCTGCAAAGAGTTGTATACTCTTAAGTTGTTTCAAATTGGGAAACAGAGTATTCTTTATATCTTTTGTGGTTACTTGAGTAACTTTCAAAAATGCAAGCATTTTGAACGCTAAATAAAACTTCATTTCATCCCTTTCCAATTTAAGATTCATTCTTAATCTAGCAAACATTTGAGCATTATAAATTCAAAAGTTATAGTCTTTATGCTTTAGAAATTATTTAAGCTCCAGAAAAGTAACCAAGTTTAGGAAGAATGCTGACACTGGCTACTCATTCTGCATTGCTTACATATAAAAAAATGTACACAGTCAAGGAGTGGATGATTTTATAAGCAAAACAGATAATCTGGATCTTTTCTTGAGTCAAAGGCCCTATATTCAGCCTGAAAATAATTTGTCCAACTTTGATAAATGGGTCTTGGATAAAGACCTGATTTTAATCCTCTTTGGAATCTCTGAGCAGAAGAACCAGAATTTAAACACTTGAGGTCTATGCGGATCTGAAATTCCACTAGCAGTCCCTGTTGGCCTTTGTGAATTTGTCTCTCACTTTCTGAAAAAGTGGTAAAGACTACTAGCAATATACCCAAAACTTGCTTTCTTTAACAAACAACAAATGAACATGAAGTCACACAGAGAATCCTGTTAAACCTGTGCCACCCTATTGCAGACTTACCAAAGGGTCCTGATGGTCATCCTGATGGTGACAGAGCCACTGGTAGGGCTCCTACTCATGTGTGATGGAGTTTGGTACACAAGCATGTGTAGTTTATATTGTAGCCATGTTTGTAATGCTAGGAACAGGGACACCCAAATTACGAACAGGCAACTGAATCGTGAAATACTTAAAGTCAAAATGAAAGATTACTTCACAAATAAAAAACAAATAATGTCAAGCACTACCAGGAGATCCAGAACCTAACCACAGGTTAGGGCTGTCCTAAATGTAGGAACACCAAATAATTTCTGAGATGTAGCAGTTATTAAGGGAGAATTTGTTTTCCTGCCTACCTGCTCCTTTGGCAGCCCACCACAGGCCCCACTCCAGCTGGACCCCGAGGCTGTGTCTCTCTCATAACATTAACCTTAGCTCTGGCATGATGGAGGGGTCAGAGGACCATTTCTCCAGCCCAGCCCTTCCCTTGGCAGTCCCTTTGGAGCCCCACCCCAAGTAGGCCCATAGGTTTCACGTCTCTCTAACTATAAATAAGCTGAGGTTTGTAATGGGGAAGTAGTGCTTTTGCTAACAGAAGGGGAAAAAGAACCTGCCAATTCTAAGTTTGGGGAGGTTAAGCAATATTTTTGCCAGTGGGTTTCCAGCTGAATGTTTTAACTCCTTCAGCTTACTGTCTTTGTGAGCTGCAGACAGTGAACTCAATTTTGTTTCAAGCTGGTTGAATATATGGTGTAAAGAATTCCCCGAGGTCCCAAGCTGCTGTTTCTGAATCCAGCGTTCTCCTGTCTTCTTTTAGTGCCTTGCAATTCGTGTATGAGCTCATCTAAATCGGGCAGAACTGCTGCAAGGAACAGTAAAAAATTTTTTGGCACAGAGCAGTCAGAATGATTCAGCCATCCAACCAGGGACTGGATCAGTGATGGCCCTTGTGATAATTGCATACCATGGTTAGCAGAGAGAAAGAGGATTATGCAGTACTTCTTGTTGTGTTAGTGTTCCCTCCTGAGTTTTTGCGGGGTGGAGTGCAGAGATACTGGAAAGGTTGGCGATATATCTGCTGCCAAGTTTCAAAG